TATATACAAAATACACACACACAAACACAAACATTTTTGAATAATTATAATATTTAAAATATAAACTAAATAAAGTTTCTAATGATATAAATTTAATAATTGTGATTCTCACGATGCTTTTCACATACCTACTTTTGAGAAGATCACGTACACTAGTAATTAAAAAACTCGACATGATTATCAGTGTTTATTGAAATTTTGTAAAAAAATTCCTTGAAAATTCCAGAATTTTCTAAGTTTCAAAATTCCAGATAAAAAAATTTTTTTTATGCAACTTTAAAATAAATTGCAATACAAGCAATATAAACACTATATATTATAAATTAGTAGAAGAGATTTTCACCATGAGACTTTATGTCATTTTCTACAACTGGAGCCTACAAGATAGTATACAAAGAGACTGACTACAATATAATATCAGTGAGCTACTCTCTTCTGCTGATTATCTTCTATTGTCACTAATTTTTTTCAAATTCGCGAGACATGAAAATGTACATGAATATATACAGATGTATATGCATGATTATTGCTAATCGATTGTCAATTTTTCATAATCAAGAAAAAATTATCAAAAAAGCAATGTTTTTTTTAGAAAAAAATGATCAAAAAAGCAGTTTTTTTTTTTTTTTAGAAAAAAATGAATTTAAAAGTAAAATTCTAGAATTTCCCTGAGGGTATCAACAAAATTCCATAAAAATTCTGATTTTCAAAAACAAAAAAGAAGTTCAAGAAAACGACCTCTAAAAATTCCAGGTTCTTCCAGGTAGTAAACATCGTGATTATATAACATATCGAAATTTGTAATTTTGAATATATAATGACTATTTTAAAAGATTAGCCATATTTTACACTACACAAGTATTACCAACGTTTGTTGAATTCTGTATACTTAAACATTTGAAAATGCTTGGAACATCAGCATAGGATGGCAACCACATAACACTTTTATCTCCATTTCATCATTGGCAGGAATAAACAAAACGGAGCCGCGAGAAAAAATCTTGGAAGATATTTTTGCTTTACCATTTACTATTAAAAGGATGCTAGCCGAGTTTCTCGGTTTTAAATTATAAGATGGTTGTCCAGGCGGTAACTGCGAAATATTTAAGATAAATGTACATCCAATGCAATCAAATACAATAAAATCATTTACTTTAATATTAAAACTCACAGTTATTTTGGCAACTGCAAACTCTGAAACTGGTGGACGGAAAACTTGGGTGAACGTATCTTCCCGAGATGGTTGAATCTTTTCGACAGATTTGCATTCAAATGACAATACTTGGATTAAAGTTTCTATATCTTTTGGTTTTGGTGTGAGTCCAGCTCTTATTACGTTATCTGAACATGCCATACATTCTATGCAATCTGAAAATTGCATAAAAGGCTAAATTAATTTATTATATTTGAATGCATATTATAATGCAAATTCTAAATCCATAATTTACCGCCAGAGAGATATGCATGAGGTACGTTTGGTCCAATGTATATTGCTTCACCTGGTAGCATCGTCACATAATTGAACAGATATATTGTAAAACAGCCTACATCTCCAGGGTAATCATTGTGCAAACGCTCTAACAGGTCGGCTTTTACTCGTTGCCTATAACAATCGTCTAAGAACAACTACATATGATTATGCTTTTTAACAAAGAATTCTTCCAATGAGGAAGAATGCAAAGATAGTATTCGATAAATTATGGTATTAAAAAAGTTATTTAAAAAAAGATTGCAAAATTTATTACACCTTTTTCACATAATATTATTTGGTTGTATCATGATTTATTAAATTTACCTATATGTTTTGCCCTATATACAGAAATTGTTACCTGTATTATGTAATCTATCTATCAAGCTTCTTAATTGCCGTGCCACTTCATTGGAATCACAAGTCATAAGACTATGAAAACTCTGTTGCAAAGCATCACTGATCATAGAATCATCTGTTTGAGATAAGCGACGGACATTGGTTTCTCCTATGACAGCAAGTAATTCTGGTATGTTATTCACATAATCTTTTATTTCATCGATTGGACGGAATCCGCACAGTGTTTCAAAAGGAGACAAAGCTATAGCTAGTTCCGGTTTGTGATTTGGATCTTTGTAGACATCCGGATATAATTTGTGCAGTTCCTCTGCCTTTTTCTGAAAACTCACGAATCAACTAATATGCCACTTTTACATAACAGGAAAAATATTACCTTATTCGGATGTATTTGAATGGATAAAGCTTTATTTATAGATAAGACTTTAAAGAGAAAAGGCAAATTGGAGCAAAACGTTTGTACAACATTGCTGCCTAATGCTACGGTATTTTCCTGAATGTATTTCTGCAAGGGAATATCTGTATCCTTGAGATATGATGGCCCATTCTCGTGAGTACCCATCCATAATTCTGCATAAGTTTTCTGTTCATCCACTACAAAATCAGCATTGGCTGATTTTATTAAAGATGCAACAATACTGTTCATACCAAGTTTTCCCCAAGCATACATTTGAACTGTACACTTGAGTTCCATCTTAAAGAAATATCTACAACAGGAAACAAAAACGTTTTAAATATCTAGATAAAATAATATACATATATTCATATGCAATGTAAATAGCTAGTTTTTTCAACATTTTTATAACTAATATATTTATAGATATCATTAGAAAAGAAAGAGAGCATTCCAAAAATAATTTTCATCCTAAAATAAATCAATAATTCTTAATAAGCACAAATCAAAAGGTTAATGTAAAATTAGTAATAAAGAAAGGTCAATGAGAGTGACACTGCAATTATTGTCAGCGTTTAATATTTTAATATTTAATTTTAATTTATATCAAATCAATACATTCTTTATACATATTAAATTATTCGAACGTTTCGACTTATTTTAAGCCATCTTCAGCGATTAATTAATTGAAAAAACAATGGTATACACTCTCAGTGCAGTTTGACTTGGTTTGACTTTCCATTAACGTGACTTTAGCCATGGTGTAAAAATACAAGGTGTAACCACAGTATATACAGTAGCGCAACTCTCTGTCGGCACCTTTGATGTCAGCGTGGATAAAAATGAAGTGCACATGCGCGAGCGAGATATGTAACCAATCAAGGCATTGATATTCCATCTCACCTCTTCTCTCTGTTGTAACCTTTTCTCTTTTTCTACTTTATTGCATAAGGTCTGTTCTTTTTCCACTGTAAGTTCTGAACTGGTGTACAACTGTACACTGATGCAATAAGTTCAGAACCTTCGAAAAATAACAGACCTACACAATGTACATTATATTTAAAACAGAAAATAAAATAGAAATGAAACATGATAGATATACATTTATTTCTCAGGAAATATAAGAAGATTCGTACTTATACTTAACCTTTTTTTATTTGCAATGATAGTCAGAGTTACAAAATATAAACGCAATAAGAGAACTAATAATAATATAGCAATCCGTTTTATTTTAACTGATCGATATTACTTAATCTCCAATTTAAAAAAACGAATAAAAAAATGACTGCGTTTAGCGTTTATTTCACAAATGTTGAAAGTTTTCTTTGCGCTGATTGTATTGTACTTTTAGATCTAGAGGATTGGTGGATTCTATCTTAGCACACAGACAATCATAAAAATGGTTTCAAAACTGTTGTGTTCCGCTGAAACGTACCTATTACGTTAACTAATTGATAATGGCTGCATTCAACAGAGAAAACTAATCAGTTATAATTAATCAAAACTGTCACTTTCCGTTAAATGGCTATTTAAATCCCTCATATGGACATTTCAACGGTGCAGACAGACAGCGACAATAAAGAGAAGAAGCGAGATGGAATATAAGTGCCCTGATTGGTTACATACCTCGCTCGCACGTGTGCAGTTCATTTTTATCCACGGTGAAATCGTGAGAGTTGCGTGCGCTACTGTATATACTGTGATGTAACGTTCCCATGAATACGCAATAGGAAAATGAATTTGGACCGAAATTTGATTGGCTGTTCTAGTATGCTACTGCTATTATACGCAGGAAAGTGCATTTAGACCACAATTTGATTGGTTATTTCCAGTATGCTATCGCAATTATGCGCAACGTTTCACCTTGTCTTATTACACCATGACTTTAGCGATCACCGTATCTGGATACACGGTATTGCAAAAACTCCCTAATGTATGATGGAACAAAATTAAAAATCGAAATGGATATGTTACCCGTGGAAATATCCGTGGCTACGTAATTCTGGCTGCGGTCCATTTGACGCTACAAACGTCAATTTGAGCGACCAATCAGAACAAAGAATTTTACGAATTGACTAATCAAAGAATGTTTCGAAGCGTTTGTAGCGTTAAGGCCGGAATCAGACTACGCATTGAAGATTGAGATTGAAGATTGAAAAATTCAAATTTGACCAATCAAAACGAAAGGAGCTAAATTTCTTTGTCCTTATTGGTCAAATTTCAATCTTCAATCTTCGACCTCAATCTTCAATGCGTAGTCTGATTCTGGCCTAATTCCGGCCTAAAGCCCAGTGTCCACGATGCTAGAAATCCGTCCGAGATCTCGGATGAAGAAAGAATTGACCAATCGCATTGATCATGTGACCAAATTGTTTCAATGTAATTGGTTAATTCTTTCCCTCTCCGAGATCTCGGACCAATTTCTAGTATCGTGGACACAAAGCTTAAGGGCCACTGTCACCAAGCTCAGTTAACTTAACTGTTTGAAGCAAACAAAATGACAAATACGATTGGTCAATTCCGATGGACTAACTGGCCAGTTAAGTTAACTGAGCTTGGTGACAGTGGCCATAAGTGGACCGCAGCCTCAATTGCTGGATTCAAACTGCATCCGATTTTCGTCGTACGACACTCTGCATCCAATCAGAAAACAGGATTCCGATAATACGAAGCAAAATTCATCGGAATCCTGTTTTCTAATTGGTTGCAGGGCGTCGTACGACGAAAATTGGATCCAGTATATATGCATGCTTTGTGCATACAGGGGTGCGTTCCAAAACTCGACTCTATCAATTCCGAATATCTTTTATCCTTGTTCTTTATCAAATATTGAAGACAGTTGAACAAGGATAAAAGATACTCGGAGTTGATAGAGTCGAGTTTTGGAACGCACCCCAGAAGGTACTAGTAAACGGTTCATTTAAAATACGAACATGTGTCCACTTTCAGGTTGCTCTCTGGTTCAGGGCCAATTTCACCAACCACGGTTAGATTAACCGACGGTTAAAGTTAGCAGGGTGGCCAACAGACATTCATATTCTCTCGTAACCTCTTATATATTGTCAATTTTACGGAGCTTTGTCTATCTGAAATTTCATCAGTGAGTGAGAATACAAAATGAATGATATTATAAATTACATATTTTTTGACGAATTTGCTGGTTACAATTTAGAAAAACGTCGAAGACCACGTAAAATCAAACCACGTATAAATTATTTAGAATTGTTTGACTTTTTTTCACATGTATAATACACTGTTTATTGCTTCCCACAAATTTCAGGTTAGAGCCAAGAGGTTACGAGAAAATATGTGTCTGTTGGTCACCCTGCTAACTTTAACCGTCGGTTAATCTAACCGTGGTTGGTGAAATTGGTCCTCAATGTAATTTGGAAGGATGTTTAATTTTATTCTGTTAGATAATTATAGAATTGCTACACTACTGAACATGAAGACAACTTGACATTCTCTAATTATTCCCTAATTAGAAAAGAAGTTCTATTGAATATCAATGCGTCCTTAAACCTTAAAATCTCGAGATCTTTGGATCCAACCAATCACGTTCAATTGCTACTTTATAACTACTCAGCGAACAGGTGTAGTACTAGGTGTACACCTATTTAATTGCAAGTGCGTTTGTAATATTGAAACATTTCCGCGTTATTTCATAAGCATAAATAATCGAAGAACGAATGAATCTGGCGATATACTACTACAACTTGCACCAGTCAATATCTTTAAAAAATATGTGATGACGTAAATGCAATTATCGAAATTTCACAAAATATGGATTCAATTACAAAGGACCAACATGCAAAGATAGAAAACGGTACATTATTGTTTATTCATTTAAATTATTATCTATCTCTTATTTGAGAAAGCAATATTATAGTAGATTTAAAATTAATAATTACGTATTTTCTTTCAGACTTTTTTTCATCAAAACATGAATGGAATTGGGATGAAAAATTGTCAACTTCATCAATTAAATTATCAGACAATAATTTAAATGTTACTTTTCATCCTGTGTATAGCACTGGTACAGCTGTTGTAAAAGGCAACAAATCATTGGAAAAAGGAAGGCATCATTATTGGGAAATTTTAATGATAACACATATCTACGGCACTGATGTAGTAAGTTTATTTAACATCTTGCTGAACCTATGTTGATAATATAGATATAGATATTTTTTCAATACATATCACTTTAGTATGTGTAATAATTTATTGCTCTTGTTAGATGGTTGGTGTAGGAACTGCAAATGCAGAGCTTCATAATGCAAGTGAACGTTTTTGTGCTCTGCTTGGACGAGATCGAGAATCTTGGGGTTTTTCATATAAAGGTTATTTACAACATGATGGTAAGACATGTAAATATGGGACGACCTTTGGTCAAGATGACTTAGTAGGAATACATCTTGATACTTGGACTGGCACATTAAAATTTTTTATAAATCGAAAACCATTAGGTAAATAATAAAACATTAATTAAATATTCTTCTTAGAGGTATAATTTTAATTCTTTTGTAGGTGTGGCTTTTACAAAGTTAAATAACGTTACGCTTTACCCATTAATAAGCTCTACAATGGCTCAATGTGTAATGAAATTAACTTATAGTTGCTCAATATCAGTATCTCTGCAAACCACTTGTCTAACAGTCTTGTCGCCTTTGCAGAAGGCATATTTATCTAAAAAATTTCCTGGTTTGCGTTATCTTACTCAAAATATCTTTGCTGACATACTACAAAAACCTATTGGTAATTCAAATAGATTCTGTTGTTTTTTTAGATGTGACCCACGTGTCTATAAGTACAAGCAATATACATATAAATAATTTTACTTATATTGACAGATAGTGATAACGAAGAAGATAACATTGAATTTCCTGCAGAGTACATTATTTTAGATGATTTTGACTATGCTCTTGTAGGATTTGGAATAAAAAAGAAAAAACATTAAATGATACACAAGCCTGTGATAAAAATCTAGAAATTTAGAGATTATTCTGAGTGCATGTACATATATCTAGAATAAAAACAATGATATATTTTCTATATGAATGTAAAATGATGTAAAATAAATAATTTTTTAACTTATTTTCAAGCAATCATCTTCAAATCTTTTATTAATATTTTCTAGCGCATCGGATATTAAAAACAAAAATTGTATCCAATTCTTTTGGACAGTTTTTTTTTTACCAAAAAGTAAATATTATTTCTTTATTTATTTAAATACATTATCGAAATTAATATTGACAGTTATTGTCACTTTAACAGCATATAAATTATGCAAAAAAATTATTGTTAAAAAGGTATCAATTAATACAATATGATTTTTGTGTAAATTTAGATAAAATTGTTTTGCATAATTTAATTATTTGTGGAAATAAAATGATAATATAATGTGTGATCATATCATCTTAAGTATTTTTGCTTGTACTAAATTTTTATTATCGCTGTTTTTGCGTTTTTGCTTTTCAATTGATTTAGATTTAGTATTGATTTTTGTAGAAAATACAATAGCTTGTGCCCATCCAGCTAATGGACCCCACAATTCTCGTAAATGATTACTTACTTCAGTATGAATTTTTGGTGTAACTGTCTTTTGTTTTTTTAAGTGTGGTAAATAATTTGCCTGTGCTATTTGGAAAATATGAGTATCAACAGGTATAGCATCTAAATGGCTTAGTGACATTAAGCATATGCAATCGGCAACTTTAGGACCAATTCCTGGCAGAGTCATTAGTTGTTCTCTGGCAGCATGATAAGAAACATTCTCCCTTTGTAGATTTAGAAGCCAATCCTTCCCACCCAATGCTGATAAACGTTCTGCTGCATTAACTATATATGCAGCACGATAACCGAATTTTTCTCTTTTTAATATACTTTCTACATTTTTTTCTTTCAGAGCTTCTATCGTTGGAAAATCATAATATTCTCTATCTTCAGTCGAATATATTTTACAACCAAATAATGAACATAATTTTTCGACCATATTTGATATCCTAAAACAAATAAATATTTAGCAAAAGCAATATAAATTCATTTTTACTGTGCAATTTTTTAAAAATGTACCTTAATATATTATTATTGGAGCTACAGATAAACGAGAATAAATTCTCTACAACATCTTGCTTTAATATCCGAACAGCATTATTTTCATCTAAACACTTTTGAAAATGTGTGTCTGCTTTTGCCCATTGTTTATAATGTTCTTTTAATGATACTGATAATCTAAAATACTCGGACAGAATATTATCATAGTTTACAGAATCTTTTAAATGTCCTTGTACTGTATATGAGAGATGGGTTTTATTTTGAGACAGAGTCCAAATGTATCCATTAAAGATACCTCTATATCCATTGTCGCAAGCTGTCCATCTGAAATACAGTCATTAGAATTTCAGAATTTTAAAATTAAATTTTAAAAAGACAAACTTAAAATCAATCACTAATATATATTCCTCTAAATTGTTGAGAACGATTATACGTATATGTAATGTATATGTATATAATTTTACAAATTATACATATAATTAATGATTGTATAACTACATTAATTTAAAGTAATGTTCAAATATTTCAAGCATTACCTGAAACTCTGGCCACCGTGCAACGTGAGAGCAAGATTCAGTTCTGTACATAAACAAGGTATACTGCCTCGTTTCATTCTCGTCTCGTACGCTTTATGCATTATAACCTCGCACAAACTCAGTCATTTAGAGGTAATTAATACCTTATTGCTAACTTCAATTGCTGCAAATACTGTTTTTCTTTAATATTATGTATATCATATCATGCGTATTTTAAACAAAGTTTTATATCAAACAAATTAAAGTCTTAATAATGTTTGTGACAAGTGTGACAACGGAGCAAATCCTAGACAGATCACAGAACATGTGGCATTTTCGCGCGCAGAAACAAGCGACCACGTGACTGCATGCTGCAAACGCACCAGCAGGCCGGAGCACATCATAGGGTGCTATTTCATTTTCGTCGTACGACAAATGTGTACAGGACAGAGAGGTCCTCGGATCTCTCTGTCTTGTAGCCAATCAATAGACTTGAAAAATTCGTCGTACGATAAAAATGCACAAATAAAATCCCACCCATATACTGCATCATACTTATCATGGCTGTGTTCCAAATTTACTGCCAACACTGAAAATGTGACAGTTTACGTTACGTGTACTATAGATTTTCAGTACAGGCATTCAATTTTGGAACATATAGCCCTTGACAAACATATGTTGATCGTGTAAAAGGTTGTCGATTTAAAGTATTTCTAACAGACTTCTATCGCTAAAGGTGATGGACTTTTCCGAAAATTGAATTGAAAAGAGAATAAAAATATAATTATTAAATAACAAAATTTGACTATTTATTTCATTTTAATTTTATACTTAATTAATTTGACTCTTTTAAACAAAAATTCAGAAAGTTCGTAGCTTTAATTAATATAATAAGATATTTAATGTTAAATATTAAGGATTTTAAAAAGTATGAAGAGATTTTAAATTTGTAACGAGAGAAACTCGGATATATTATGATTTTGAAAAATTTGTTGGCTTAATTATTCTACAATTCTTTCGTACAAATTAATATATTACATCGAATCGTATCAGAACGGAATTATTGGTATAAATATTATTAGAATAGAAATCGAAATTATTATTCTTGATCAAATCTAAATTTATCTTGTACACACAGCTTGTAACTAATATAAATACATGCATACCATATATGTATATAATAATTTTTCATCAAAAATTCTAAGCTATCCTAAAGCTTAACTCCACGATTCTAGTAATTTGTTTACAGTTTGCTAATAATGTTTAAAAGTTAACAAATTCTATCTACAAGTGTTTAACACAACTTTATATATAAAGACTGCCGATACCTACTACAACGATCGACTTTCTCCAATTAAGTTTTTAAGTGTAGAAATATGAGAAAAAGAAATAAATTAATACAAATATTTATTTAAATTTAAATAAATTTTTATGAAATGACATTTATGAAATGAAAATAGTATACGAATATGAGGATCGAACTCTTATTCTTATAAAATATGTATGTAATATATTAAGTAGATATATATTGTAAAATATTTTATACTTGTTAGAAAAACAGAGGCAGCTTTCTAATTGTATTTATTCGATTTTTTTTTAATATTTGGAAATTGATTATAAGATATAAATTAGTAAAACAGTACATTCGCATACGATTCCTTTGTTTCTGATAATTCATAATTCAGGATGTCTAACGTATAAGTAGCTATAGATTTAATATAACGATTTTCCATATCGAAGACATTGTGAATTATGATGTACCTATTGTCAATCTTTGGTGATATAATTTCATGATTTATCTAATCGACTTCTTTGTGTTTTTCTTGATTATAAGTATTATAAGTATTCGACAAAATATTACATCCCTGAGAATTGCTATTGACATCCTCGGAAGAAGAATACTTCATTATTTCTTTATGACGATCTCTTATGCTGTACACCCTTAGTAAGGAACATTATCTCGTACGTAGGCCTGCTTTCGGTATTCATGATGTTGACATTTACCCCACCAGGACCGTTTCACGCATACCTTCTGCGATTTCAGAATAAAGCACTTTGATTGGAGTACGTCGAAAAAGATTTTGCCTATAAAATCCGCCGATGTAGTCCCAGCCATTTTCAAACATGTGCGAAATCTGTATACAAAAAAATCTCAAATAAAAGTAATTGTAAGAAGCGATGAAATTGTTACATACATCGATAATAAATTTTATGAAATTTGTTAATTAATTTCAGAGATATCAAACAATTTGTATTGAATGTGTTTTAAGAGAATAAGACTTTTATTGTACAATGTATGCACGTTAAAAAATGCATTTAATTACATATTAAATAAATCCAGTGAATATTTTCTGAAGATTATACTCTCGTGCAGGTATCTTATACATTCGATTATACTCGAATATCGAGAATTTTACGAGGGGGTAACCACTCTTGAATTCCGGTGTACAATCTGTCAGAAGTCCGATGAAGTCCGGCGAAGTCCGATGAAGTCCGATGAATTCCCCGTGAAGTGCGATGAATTCCGATGAAGTCAGATGAATTCCGGTGAAATCCGATAAAGTCCAGCAAAGTCCGATGAATTCATGAATTCCAATGAAATCCAATGGATTCCGGTGAAGTCCGATGAATTCATGAATTCCGATGAAATCCGATGAATTCCAGTGAAGTCCGGTGAAGTTTTGAAGTCCGAAGTCCAGGTGTACACCTATTTTTGGAGTAGTTACCCCCTCGAAATTTTACTTTTTTTGTATTTATCGCCATTTTCTCACAAACATTTCTTTATAGACCGTATTATTAAATATAATTTCATTAATTACTAACCGCTCATCACAAGCGCAATGCATCATACTGGAAATTCTCCAATTGAAAACGCCATAACGCGTCTCGAAGGCCGGTACGTGAAAAGGACAAGATGTATCGTGTTTTCGACAACAGGCATCAGCCATGCCGAAACCGCCCAAATTGGTATACTTGGTAGCACGGTCACCGCGACCGCACCATTGCGTCCCTGGTATCATGAATAATTCTCTTCGAATCCGATTCCGACTTCGACTTTGCTTTCCATTATTTGCTGTCGCGTTCGTCGATTTTGCGTATTTCCTGTTACAAAGAATTATTTATAGTTTATACATTTGTACAATGGCCTAGCTTCGCGCGGCCGCGACCGGCTTACGTGAGCCGAGAGATTATAAGCCAATCGACTTGGGAGAGTATAATCGCTCATCCTAGGTCATACCTATGTCGATATTGGGCCATGGCTTGGCTTCGTACTCGCATTCTCATGCGATCGCATCGGTGACGAAGCTCCGATGTCGACAGCAGCCAAGAGAGGTCACGGGGTATCCTCGAAATGTCCTTACCGTCCAGTTGGAACACCTCGATCGACACCTCGTCACCGTCATCGTGATAGCGATAGACACCGCGAGAGCTGGGTAAACACTTGCTGTCGTCCCACCACGCGAGCTTCTCGTCAATGCAGTCAGTCATTGTTTCACCGGCATATATCAATTGCAGCTTTCTGTTTGACTTACGAAGCCAGACTTGTCGCAGTGTCACATTTGTATTTCTATCGAGAGAACAAACGTTATTGTAATCTAATTAATTTTCGGTTAAATGCTATATATATATATATCTCGAAGTAATAAAATGAATAGTAAAATTTATAAAGAAAAATATGTGAGAGCGAAATAAACTTATTACGTTTATTTATTGTCTCAAAATCGATAGAAATTGTAGATATATGTATATAATAATTTTGCAAGTATTAGATTTATTTATATATCAATATATGCTACAAATCTTAATTATATTTTTCACATCGTATATATATATATATATAATAATAAAAAGAATTAAATTAATTTTTTCCAACAAATATTATTCAGGCAGTAAGAGCAAATTCGGAAAGAGGGGACGGTTAGCGAAAAGCAGAGCGTGCACTTTCTTCACGACGGTAAAAGAGCTTTCGTCCTGCGTTTAAGTGCAAAGTGACGCTTCGTGGTTGTGGTATCCTCGTGAGAGCATCAGCAGATGAGTCCCATCTAGGAGAGTAAAATAGGACGGCGACCTACCGAACTACGTTTAGGTCCAGTGCAAAAGGGGCCAATCCGATCCCTACGTAGAGGTTCCAGGACGTCCGCTTGTCGCAGAACCTAATCCTTGCTTACTTAACTTGCCGCTTTTCGGCTTAAAAGCTTGGTTGGCTTTGCGGTTACTGTCAACGAATAAACATGATAAATTGTATCCCCTTTTTTAGTTTTCAAATCTAATGAAATAACAATTATATTATTGCATTTTATATACTACTACTTTATTGTCGTTATTATACAATCAAATTATTTTCTCATTTTATTCATTTTTACAGCATTCTGTTGTCTTTTTTGTTACATCTTTATAAAATACTGCTGTTTTTGTTAAACATACACTCAGTTTCAAAAAAAGCGGTACACTATAAATTTGGGAAAAATTTACCAAATTTTAAATGATCATAACTTGGTAAATAATAAAGATAAAAATATGTTTAAAAAAGCAAAATGAAACTTGAAATGTCCACTTTAAGATTATTTGAATGGGAATTGTACTATGCCATTATTTTCAAAATAGCGAATGACAAAGTGACAACATGCAAAATTGATAATCAAAGGTCCAACTTTGCGATGGTGCATGGTGTGATCAGGTGTCGTCGCTCAATGGGACAACATGTACGTGAAAGTATAGAATTTTATCTTTAAAATGCTTTTTTACCGACCTTGATACGATCATTTTTCGCTGAGTTATTCCAAATTTAAGATAGCGCTGTCATTAGCTTAAATTATGCTTGTAATTTTTCCCAATATGAACTGCATGGAGTTTGATTGGTCGAAACACCTCATTGCGTGCGTGTGCATGTGCGTGCGTGTGCATGTGCGCGCGCGCGCGCGCGCGCGCGTGTGTGTGTGTGTGTGTGCGCGTGCTTCGACAAATTCTTGAAGACTGGAATACAATTATGCAAGATGAAATTAAAAGATTGATAAGGAGTATGCTGGATCATATGAATAAGGTGATACGCGTACGAGGAAATCATACACACTATTAATATACACGGACGAACGCACACAGAGAGAAAAATGTTTGGTATTTGTAACTATAATTATATATTACTATAATTATGATTATTACT